GCCCGTCCCCCAAAGGCACTCTGCCCCATACCCATCACTAGTCTTCACCCTTCCCCAAACCCTCCCTCAGCTGTCCAACAACTGTGGCTGGTGGATACTGAGCACCCAATATTTTTTTTCCCTGAGTGCTCCAACCTTAGAGCACCCACAGTGTTGGCGCTTAATGAGTTTCATTAAACAACTTTTTAACATGGCAGTTCATAGACGGAATTCTAGATCTCTATGGCAGCAGCACAGTGTATATGCAGCAATGTGGTCTATGTCTGCACTGTGGTAGAAGGGAGTCTTGGTCTTTGCTACAGGAGCCTTTCATTGTAGTTAGGAAAGGTTCTGATGGGTTGGGACAAGGACAAAGCCCCCGTTAGAGCTTTTTTTCTGTTGCTGGAGTCTTTTTCTGTGACAGGGAAATGCTCCAGCAGTGGGGAAACAGTGGGACAGTACACTGCTAAAAACAGCAGTGCAGACAAGGAGACACAGCATGGGATGAGCAGAAAGCGATGTAGCGTGTGTAGTTGATTATATGCCCATGCTCTTTAAGATGTGGCTTTGCTTGCCTAACTATACCTCATAGCTTATGCTGCTATTTATATCAGTGCTAACTGGCTAAAATGTATGTATTCTACATGCCACTACATGTGATGGAGACATACTCTAGTAAACTGGTCCACAAATAAAAAACAGGCATTGCCTCACCCCTTACTGGAATGTACCCTCTTCTGGAAAAAAAAATACAGATGTAGTGAAATAGTACACCCCAATGTTACACCACGAATGGTTTATAACAAAGAAGGGTAACTGAGGCATCAGAATCTGCAAAACTGAGATACTGTAGGAAGAATGTAAGCTTTGTAATTTTGTTAGGACACTGTAGTTAACCATCTTTACTTTGCAAACAATGCCATTGGCTATTTAATCTAATGTAGAAAGATGGCATATCCAGCAATGTAGTTTCCCTTAAGACCCTGCTGTAGCTTTGGTTCTGTGGCAACTCAAAAGAGTAGTCTGTACTAGGGCTGTCAAGCAATTAAAAATTAATTATGATTAATTGCGTGATTAAAAATTAATTGTGATTAATCATGCTGTAAAACAATATTAGAATACTATTTATTTAAATATTTTTGGATTTTTTTACATTTTCTAATATATTGATTTCGATTACAACACAGAATACAAAGTGTATAGTGCTCACTTTATTTTTTATTACAAAACATTTTCACTAAAAAAAGCTTCAGTTCACCTCACTGAAGTATTGTAGTGCAAATTCTATCGTGAAAGCTGAACTTAAATTCTTCTATATAATCAATATATTTGTGTCCTATTAAAAAAAAGTCCTTTTTTAGCTTAGCCCCAGTTACAAGCGGCACAGGGCTGGAAGGGGGTAGACTCTGTTGTGGGCAGTGCAGAGTTTGGGGAGGCTCAGCCCCCAACTGCAGGTGGCATGGGGCTCAGGGGAGGCCCCACAATGGGCACAGCAGAGTTCGGGAGGAGGGACTCAGCTCCAGAATCAGATGTGGGGGAAGGTCAGTCCTAGCCCCAGAAGGCAGAGAGGGTGGCTTGGGTGAGCCCTGTCGGAGAGGGAGGGATGGCTTGGGCAAGCCCCCACTCCAGGCTGTGTTATTTTAAAAAATATGGTCACCTGGGAGTAGGGTTGCCAGGTGCCTGGTATTTTCGCCTCCTGTCTGGTAAAAAAATACCAGACACCTAAGATGTCCGGTATTTTCTGATTCTTTTCCCCCAGGCAGGAGGCGAAAATACCAGGCACCTGGCAACCCTACAAACACTCAGAGCCCGGCCTCCACCACCACCACCCCCGATCCTCCCAGCCCCCAAAGCCCATGCTTACCTGGTTCCACAAAGCTACTGTCACAAAATGGCTGCCTGCAAGAAGACCAAGGGGAAGCAATGACTCTCCTGGGTCTTAGTGCTCAATGCTCCCCGGTTCCTATCCCTGCACTCACTCTTAAAGGGGACATGCTGTTTTAATGCTGTTTTATTTTTTATTTATTTGTTTTTTGCATAATAAGTCTTGAAGTGCTTTTTTTTTCTTCTTTTGTTCAACAACTTTGGTCCCCCCCCCCTTTTTTTTTTCTTCAACAGAATTTTTTCCTGGTGTTTTTTTTGTGTGTGTGTGTGTGTGTGTGAGGGGGCCGGGTGTTCAGTATATTTATTTCAATCATCTGGCAACCTTACCTGGGGAGAGGGAGAGGGGGACGGGTATCAGGGTCTTTGCTTCTTGTTTATTTCTCTGTTGGAATTGGGAGCTTGAGGGTTTTTTCCCCCCTTTCTCGCTGCTTCTTTTTTCCATGTGCCCTCTAGTGGCGGTTTGCCTTTCTGCGTCTTACCAGAGACAGATCAGCTAATGCTGGTTTGCTGCCCTCTGCGATTAACAATTTTTTAACGTTAATCGCAGCCGTTAACGTCTACTATTTATCAGCCCTAGTCTGTACTAAATGCTTTCTTCAGCACTTAGGTGTCCCTTAGAGGATTTATATCCGCAGTATGACTCAGCATGACCTAATGAGATTTGGCAGGATCACAGTACCAGGTACTATGGTTGCATTGCTTTACTTCAGTAGCAAAACTGATAAAGAAAATGCTATTATTTAAATTAGTTAGAACAGAACATACCCATTCTTAAACTTTGAAATTACCATAATAGGACCAAAGGATTCTTCCTGGGCAAGGTACATATGGTCTTCAACGTCTGTAAATACAGTGGGTTCCATGAAGAAACCTAAACAGAGGACACAGATAGAGCATCATTTGCAAGTAAAGTACCATTTAGTTTGTATTCTCACCTTCTCTACCTACATAGTAACACATTGTCTCTGTTTTCTTACTCAGCCTTAAGTGTTGTATAAGCCTAAGCAGCAGATGTAAATATCCACTCTAAAATTTCTTTAGCGACAGAAAACAGACAAACATGCTGAGCACATTCTGTCAGGAAGGACAGACAGGGAAAAAAGGGAGGAGGGGTTGCCTTGTATATTAAAAATGTACACACTTGGACTGAAGTGGAGATGAACGTAGGAGATAGCTGTGTAGAGAGTCTCTGGGTTAAGCTAAAAGGGGTAAAAAACGAGGGTGATATCATGCTAGGAGTCTACTACAGGCCACCTAGCCAGGTGGAAGAGGTGGATGAGGCCTTTTTTAAACAATTAACAAAACTATCCAAAGCCCAAGATTTGGTGGTGATGGGGGACTTCAACTATCCAGACATATGTTGGGAAACTAACACAGCGAGGCACAGGCTATCCAATAAGTTTCTGGACTGCATTGGAGACAACTTTCTGTTTCAGAAGGTTGAAAAAGCTACCAGAGGAGAAGCTGTTCTGGATTTGGTTTTAACAAATAGGGAGGAACTAGTTGAGAACTTGAAAGTGGAAGACAGTATAGGGGACAGTGATCATGAAATAATAGAGTTCATGATCTTAAGGAAAGGTAGAAGGGAGACCAGCACAATTGAGGTTATGGATTTCAGGAAGGCAGATTTTGATAAGCTCAGAGAACTTGTAGGTAAGGTCCCATGGGAAGCAAGACTGAAGGGAAAAACAACTGAGGAGAGTTGGAAGTATTTCAAAGGGACGTTGTTAAGGGCCCAAAAGCAAACAATTCCGCTGTGTAGGAAAGATAGAAAATATGGCAAAAGACCAGCTTGGCTTAACAAGGAGATCTTGCATGATCTCAAAATAAAAAAGGAGTCATATAAAAAATGGAAACTAGGACAACTAACAAAGGATGAATATAGGCAAGCAACACGGGAATGCAGGGGCAAGATTAGAAAGGCAAAGGCACAAAATGAGATCAAACTAGCTACAGGCATAAAGGGAAACAAGAAGACCTTTTATAAATACATTAAAAGCAAGAGGAAGACCAAGGACAGGGTAGGCCCACTGCTTAGTGAGGAGGGAGAAGCAGTAACAGGGAACTTGGAAATGGCGGAGATGCTCAATGACTTCTTTGTTTCGGTCTTCACCGAGAAGTCTGGAGGTGTGCCTAACGTAGTGAATACAAGCAGAGAGAGGGTAAGTTTAGAAGATAGGATACACAAAGAACAAGTTAAAAATCACTTAGGAAAGTTAGATGTCAGCAAGTCACCAGGTCCTGATGAAATGCATCCCAGGATACTCAAGGAGCTGATAGAGGAGGTATCTGAGCCTTTAGCTATGATCTTTGAAAAATCATGGCAGACAGGGGAGATTCCAGAAGACTGGAAAAGGGCAAATATTGTGCCCATCTATAAAAAGGGGAATAAGAACAACCCAGGAAATTATAGACCGGTCAGTTTAACGTCTGTCCCAGGGAAGATAATGGAGCAGGTAATTAAGGAAATCATATGCAAACACTTGGAAGGTAATAAAGTGATAGGGAATAGCCAGCATGGGTTTGTGAAGAACAAGTCATGCCAAACTAATCTGATAGCTTTCTTTGATAAGATAACGAGCCTTGTGGATAAGGGAGAAGCGGTGGATGTCATATACCTAGACTTTAGTAAGGCATTTGATACGGTCTCGCATGATATTCTTATTGATAAACTAGGCAAATATAACTTAGATAGGGCCACGATAAGGTGGGTGCATAATTGGCTGGATAACCGTAGTCAGAGAGTTGTTGTTAACGGTTCTAAATCCTGCTGGAAAGGGATAACAAGTGGAGTTCCTCAAGGGTCTGTTTTGGGACCCGTACTGTTCAATATCTTCATCAATGATGTAGATATTGGGATAGAGAGTACTCTTATTAAGTTTGCAGATGATACCAAACTGGGTGGGGTTGCAACTTCTTTGGAGGATAGGGACATAATTCAAAATGACCTTAGCAAGTTAGAGAAATGGTCGGAGGTAAACAGGATGAGGTTTAATAAGGAGAAATGCAGAGTGCTCCACTTAGGAAGGAACAATCAGTTCCATACATACAAGATGGGAAGCGACTGTCTAGGAAGGAGCATGGCGGAAAGGGATCTAGGGGTCATAGTGGACCACAAGTTGAATATGAGTCAACAGTGTGATGCTGTTGCAAAAAAAGCAAATATGATTTTAGGTTGTATCAACAGGTGTGTTGTAAGCAAAACTCGTGAAGTCATTCTGCCGCTCTATTCTGCACTAGTTAGGCCTCAGCTGGAGTACTGTGTCCAGTTCTGGGCGCCACATTTCAAGAAAGATGTGGAGAAATTGGAAAGGGTACAGAGAAGAGTGACAAGAATGATTAAAGGTCTAGAGAGCATGACCTATGAAGCCAGGCTTCATGAACTGGGCTTGTTTAGTTTGGAAAAAAGAAGATTAAGGGGGGACATGATAGTGGTTTTCAAATATCTAAAAGGGTGTCACAAGGAGGAAGGTGAAAATTTGTTCCTCTTGGTTTCTGAGGACAGGACATGGAGTAATGGGCTTAAAGTGCAGCAGGGGAGGTTTAGATTGGACATTAGGAAAAAATTCCTAACTGTCAGGGTGGTCAAATATTGGAATAAATTGCCAAGGGAGGTGGTGGAATCTCCCTCTCTGGAGATATTTAAGAACAGGTTAGATAGACATCTGTCAGGGATGGTGTAGACGGAGCTTGGTCCTGCATTGAGGGCGGGGGGCTGGACTCGATGACCTCTCGAAGTCCCTTCCAGTCCTATTATTCTGATTCTATGAAAACCCAATATGTACAGACACATTCATGCCAGCAGTTCTTTTCTAAAGATATAGGCCAGGTGTACAGAAGAAAAGCTTTGTTGGTACAGCTATATCACCAAACCCTCCTAATCAAGACATAATTTATTCCGGCAAAGAAGTGCTTTTGCTGGAATAAGTTATATGAATCCCCTAAGGAAATAAGTTATACTAGCAAAAGCAATTTTAATTTGGCACAACTGTGTCCACATTAAGGCTTTTGCCAGTATAAAACTATTGCCAAAAATCACCAAAAAATTCCATCCCTCACTGATGTTACTAATATTAGCAAAAGTTACTAGTGTAGCTCTGACCTAAGCCTCAATTTAGTTTCTGGAGTATCAGTTGCACCACTTCTATTAATGCTGTATGGGAGCTATGCCATGAGAGCTGTATGTATCAAGTGAAGACTATTCCTGAGTCTCTCTATATGAAAGATATATTGTGCAACAGGCTGAGTTTCTCCTTACATGTAAATATCTTAAGAATTCTTCAGTATGAGCCATCTCTTTCTTCCATGTCTTTATGCCAAGTGATTTTCTCCAGGACAATGACACCCTACTTTATTTAGGTATACTTCATAGAGTCCTGTATATTGGTGGCAGCAGGAAAGATACCATGTAGCTGTCCTTCAGCTCATTTTGTATTGTATTTCCATGAATTTGTTCCTCTTTGTGCTATACAACAGAGGGAACCATGTAGGCTTTTATTTAAAAATGTAAAAATTCAAAACACTTCCAGGTAGTATTTTACCTGGTCTACATACTTGTCTTCCTCCATACACTAATGTTGCTCCTTCTTTTACTCCAATTTCACAATATTCCAGCAGCTTTTCCAGATGAGCCTTGTGATTCTGTGGACCATGATCTGTGGCTCTGTCGAGTGGGTCACCAATTTTCATCTTTTTTATTTCTTCTACCTACAGGTTACCCAATTAAAATGAAAAGTTACATTGTATCACACACTGGCTAATCTTTTTGAATTAAATAGTGAAAATGCTTACTTCAGTATTAAGATGCCCATGTTTAAGACCCCTTGAAGGGACCCAATTTTCAGGAGGAGTACTTAGCACTTTGACAAGCAGGCTATTTTATGGTATTTCAAGTTGAGTATGAATAATCAATCACTAGTCATTTTTTAAAATCTTGACCATTATTTTTAGTTATTCATTTTTAAGTTTCTTTTGCTACTGTGGCCAGCATTTAAAATGTCATTGTTTACTCAACTTCACATAGCATATTAAACAAGATACTGAAGTTATTCTCTTTCTACATAGTAAATAATAGAGTTCTCACACAGCACTGTTGAAATTTTAATGGCAAAAATTAGATATTTTTGCCTGATTCCCGCTATACTTCCAATGTTACCATATTTTTGCCAAATTCACAGTGGTTTTAAGTCTCATGAATACAAATTTGGCAATTTCTGGTTAGGCAAATGTACAGATATAGTTGCTAGGATAACGTCTCTTTATAAGTGTGTCACTTCTCACTGCATTTCTAGGCTAAGTGTCTCCTATTAGCACACCCTTTTTATTCTTTCATGATAGGAATGATTTCCCAACATCAGCAGCAATTGAAAGTTTAAATAACTTGCATAAAAATGTGTGAGTATAAAATGACTCGATCTCCATTTTACATTATTACTGCAAAATTTATTTTGAACACGAGCCCTTTAAATATCTTACCACTCTCCCAACAAATTCATCATGAATTGATTCTTCCACAAACAGTCTGCCAGCTGCAATACAGTTTTCTCCCTTGTTGAAGTATACTGCTCCCATCCCCTGTGTCAGAAGAAAACACTATTGATACTTGTCTTTATTTCCAACGTACGTACGTACGTGAGTGCGTGCGTGCGTATCGTATATATAGTAGCCCAGTGTCTGTGAGTCTGTAACGCTGAAATGCTGGCTGTTCCCTCTGGGGGACACTGTTGCCTGAAATGCTGGCTGTTCCTTCTGGGTGGCTCATGCTGCATGGGGAGTGCGGCGGCCCAGCTGAGCGGTGCAGAAGTCAGCCAAGTGTCACGGCAGGAGAAGACGACCTTGAGAGGTCATCAAGTCCAGTCCTCTGGACCCATGGCAGGACCAAGTAGCATCATCCCTGACAGATGCCTATCTAACCCACTCAAAAATATCTCCAAAGGTGGAGATTTAATAATCTCCCTAGAAAATGGAGGTCTTTACCCAAGGTGGGATTTTGAACCCAAAATCTGTGGCTTCAGAAGCCACTGCCTGATATAAGTGGAGCCCAAATGGCTGTTTGGGCTCCGTGGTCCCACAAGTCAGAAGCAGGAGGGGGAGGAGAAGAGAAAGAGAGAGACAGAGAGAGGCAGGAGGCGGAGGAGAGCTGAGAGAGAGGGGGAGGCAGTAGGAGGAGGAGACAGAGAGAAAGAGAGAGATGGAGCGAGAGACTGGAGGCTCAGGAGAGAAGACCAGCATGGAAGAGAGACCTGAAAATCCCTTCTTATGATGGGCTAATTGGCTAGTATATATATAAAACTCTTCTTTAAAGGAGCAATATCAGCATAAAAATCATTAAAGAATTTTTCTTTACTAAATCCTATTCTTCTTACCTCTTCCTTTTCTAAATACACACGTGCATGAACATAGATGTCCCTGGATGCAGTGGATGCTCCTATTATTAACTAGTGACCATCAGCAGACTTTCAAATAAAATGGTTTTTCCCCCACAGGAAAATATATTTTAATGAAAAAACGTGTTTCCATTTTCTGACTGGCTCTAGCACCATTTCGGATGATCAAACCATAAAGAGATTTTCAAAATACAATTAGTTTTCACAGAGCACACTTCCTTTCTCTATCTCCTCCCCCATGTCACTCTTCCTGCACCATGAAAAATGGACTGGAAAGTCAGCTTCACTGTTTTGTATCTCATGCAACAGCACAATGCTCTTTCGGTTCAATGGGGCTCTATTTGTGTACTGGGGGACATTCACAATAATAGACCTAGCTGCAGGAATCAGGATTGAGGCCTAAACTCACTACATCAAGTAGCAGCTACGTCTTTTTCTAATGAGTGATGTAGTACAGATTGAACTTCTCTAGTCTGACACCCTCAGAACCTGACCAGTGCCAAACCAGAGAATTTGCCAGACCATGGGAGCTCAATATTGTCTAGCAGTATTACCAACACTTCCACTGCTTGCTGGACTCTTACAAGACATTTAAGGGAAATGAGAGCTAAATAACACAGAACTCTGAGAGCCAGGACTGGTGGCTGTAAACAACCTTTATGGGACGGCAGGAAACTTGGCCACACCCATGACGACTGAATAAACGGCTAACTAAAATCATGCTGGACCACAGATGTTGCCGGACTACAGCGTGCCGGACTAGAGAGGTTCAACCTGTATATGTTAGTGTTACATTGGAAACAGATCACTTCAATAAGAAAAAGGATCTTAAAATCTACTAATTTTCCTCTTTGAATATATTTTTGCAAATTTTGGAAGACAGAGGTTAAGGTTCAATGGGAAGTATACATCAGGAGTGTGTATGCTACTGAGTCATTAAGGATTACATGGCACTGGGGAACTGACTGAATCTCAACTTAATTTCCAGATTTTTTTTTTTTTTTTTTTTTTTTAGAATTTGGAGTGGGTTTTAAATGTCAATGTTTTGCAAAATTATTTTTTGTGGAGTTAATATGACTTCATGGAAGTACACTTTTCACCTTTACTCTTTTTCAATTGTTTTTTGAGAACATCTGCCTTTTGAATAAGCCCCTCCCCCCAAGTTTATACTGTGTTGGCATAGAGTCTAGAGAAAGAGAGCCCTACTTCAAAACAACGTGTGGCTATCCTCCTCCATGTTTTAGAAAGCCCTAAGGAGGAGGGCTCCTTAATAAGTTGCACAAAAAAGGCTTTGAACATGTTTGTTTTTTTACTATGAAGTAACCTTACCATTCTCACAGCTTTGTCGAGTTCACAGTCCTCAAAAATGATCAATGGGGATTTACCACCAAGTTCAAGGGACACTTTCTTCAGATTGCTGACTGCACAGCTATGAAACATTGTAAATAATTATGTAAAAATTGACATTCAGACATTTTCTAGCAATGAAATTATTTTCTTTAAGGTCAACTTGTGAAAATATATAGCATATATCTTTGTTTTCAGACAGCTGGACTAAATAGCAAGTTATATTTCCACTATTTAATATAGAAAAATAATTAAATTCCCATCCACAGTCTGCAAGTCATTTTAATATTATATGCAAGGTGTAATTTGTATATCACTGTAGTAAACATTGATTAATCTACATTATAGAAAAAGATTTAAAATATCTTCTGAATATAATGAATACAATACCTCTTCATGATTTGTTTACCAATAAGAGTTGAACCAGTGAATCCAAGTTTGCGAATATCTGGGTGTTCAGACAAGTGCTGTCCAACTAAACCACCTGAGTCATAGTAGGATATGCAAATCAACAAATTAAAAATGTACATGTAAATCTTAACATTCTAATAGTTCAGTAGGTCTATCAGGTTAAACAGCATCTAATTTAAGTATCCTTACTTATGTTACTATTAACATCTCAGATTAATAGAATTAAAACCACCATGGTACAAATCTCTCCCTTCACCAAATCCCTCCCTTGAGAACTTCATCTCTGATACTTGCACTGCTGGCAGAATTACTCAGTTTATATTTTAAACAGATGAAATACATATTGTTTCATATTTCAGCCCCATAGTAATCTCAGGACTTGTCTTTACTAGGAAATCTTACATTTAACATGATTGTGAGGAGGTGAATTAGTTGATGTAATGTTAAATTGTTTCCACTGACCAATCTGCCATAGTTAGCTAAATAAATTGCTCAAAATCATGTAGAAATAATATTTCCTTCTTGACAACAAGCCTTTAAGAATAAGAGAAATACTATCATCAATAGCATTAGGTTTCTCTATGATAAATAGTTCTTTGAAGATTTTTGTATTTTTTGTCTGAATCTGGAATGTATAGATGAGGGGTAAATACCCTTGGCTAGCACCATATAATTCCCTATTCAGTTCAGAGAATACATGTGCAGTGACATGTTAGGTTTGTAGTGTGGACAAAGATCCACTAAGAAAGAAGAGAAGACCCCTTAGCACACTTTTCACCTCACAGGTCTGTAGAGGTGAAAAGCTAGATCACCAAGAACTTTAGCTCACCTCAGTCCTTTATTTAACTCTTCTCAACCATATAGTTCACACCATGCTAGGTTTTATACAGAAAAATAATTACATCAATGCTTTACCTGAGCCAGGCAGAATATTTATAACACCTTTAGGAAATCCTGCTTTAGCTGAGAGCTCTGCAAACTTTAAGGCAGTCAATGGAGTGACCTAAGCATGTACACAATAGTCATATTAGATCTGCTATTTTAGTTACATATAGTCTGAAATATTTAATGTACTTAATATATTTTAGCTTGTTGCAATATGAATCTTACATTAGTTCATATTTTTCTTGACAAAGTGGACAAAATGACATTTCCTTTAGGGATGTCAATGTATAGTCGACTATACAATTAACTGATAAGCCTAGCTAGGCTTATTGGTTAATTGTGTTGACTACATGCATTTCTCCCCGCCCCCTTTGCTGCGTCTGTATCAGAGGCAGCAAGGGAGGCAAACAGGAACCAGTGCTGGGGGGAAGCTGGCTTAAAAGGCAGCCTAACAGAGGCAGTGGAGGAGGGGGTGCAGGGGAGGCTGCCATGAAGCAGCCTCTGTCCGCAGTGAGCCTCTGTCTGCAGTGAGCTGCTGTTCACAACTATTCAATTACCCAACATCTAACATCCCTAATTCCCTTATGAGGAATGCATTCTGTTCACGACCCAGACTAATTATATTCTGATTTACATATGCATCTCACTGTACAACCTCCTCTCCCCCTCTGCCGTAATTATTACACCATACAACAAAGACAGATAGACAAACAGAAAGTTATGATGTACTCTAATTTGAGGGTGCTAAGAGTTCTAATGAAGATTACAAGTGCCTTAAATCAGGATGGGAATAGCTACTGCTTCACATCTTCTTTACAACATGCAACAGATCAGCCAATGGATGGAGTCAATGGAAGCTTTGCCTTAGTGGGGACTGGAGGATAACACCCACAATCTGCATTTTCTCTGTGCTGATTTTACCTGGGCTGGTTTGAGAACTAATGTGTTGCCTGCAGCCAAGCATGCTGCGCTCTTCCATGCAAGCATCATCAGCGGGTAATTCCAGGGGATAACAATTGCACAGACACTTAAGATTGGGAAAAACACGAAAAAAGTTACATTTTTGTTACAGATTTTGAAAGGATTTTCTATTTGTCAAAGTTAAAACTAGTCTGTGGTCATTAAGAAGATGATAAAAGCCTTACCCTATGGGTTCCTTCTTGGTGAATGTTAGGTTATGATTCGGGCGTGCATGGCTAATTGGGATTGTAGAACCCTAAAAGAAAGTCAATGGATTTTAAAATCTGTATCTTTAGAAAGGAAAATTAAAATGTACCAATTACCGAATCATGCTTGTATCAGAAAAATCACTGCCATCATGGAAGACATCACAGCCAGATTTTTTTTCTGTTAATGGAATGCCAGAAAGAAAAAATGCTGGAATACTGCTACTGTATAATCTTCTACCAAGGACAGGAGCTGCATCTTTCCTATGACACTCCATATTCTCAACCAGCTTATCTGGCATCCCAAGTCAAACTGTAAATCTCTGTTTACCAGTAGGAAGCATAATGTGCTCCTATCATATTTCCAGGAAGACTCTTTCTTGGTAAAATTCTAATTCTGTCACCCACAATTTTGAATGCCTCATTTCCCTGTGTTAAAGTTGTTCTTCTGGGCTGTACAAGCAAAAGACAATCCCAGAAAAGAATAAGAACACTGAAGCATGGTAATTCATTTCTGATTGTACATAAGTACTGACAAATATTAGCTTGCCTGAATTTTGTCACACCATCCAGCAAAGTATCTGAATGTTTGCACTGACATTCCAACATGGGTCTTCAAAGCTAAGGTGTAGACAGCTCCTGAGTCAATGGCCTCAATTGTTGCTAATTCCTCTTGGTGTTCTTCCATCAGGTCTGCCAGTCTTTTAATTAAAACACAACAAATGAGAATCCAAAAATAACAACACTGGAAAATGACACCTCCAACTATATCTAACTTACAAAGCATGGCAACTCAGGCAAAACTTCTACTGATTTCAGGACTGGAACTGTTATCTATTTATTAACGTAAGTAAGGGCCATTAACTCAATAAAGTTAATGAGAGTTTTTTCCTTGACTTAAAAAGGCACTGGATGCATACGTGATGAGTTTCTAATGTGACAACTACCCTGCCTCTTCCCACTCAGTTCTGCTCCAGGCCCAGCCTCTACTCGCCTAGCTCTGCCCTGTCTCCCAAGTGTGCCCCATCCCCTTTCCTCCACCTCCCGCAGTGCCTCCTGCACACCACAGAACTGCTGACTGTGGCAGGTTGGAAGTGTGCTGGGGGAAGAAATGTTGATCAGAGGGGCAACTGGTGGGCAGGTGTTGTTGGGGAGGATAGAATGGGACCGACAGGGAAACTGCTGGTAGGCACTGAGCAGCACCCATAGTCAGTGCCTATGATTAGATGAGACATTTATCTGTGAAATCTTCAGGTTGTCATTGTTTATGGTTTGGTAAATGAAATAATTATTGGAGCATTTGTACCCATCTTTTCTCATATCCTCTCAAGAACCAACCACAAAATATCTGACCCATAAGTTAGACACAGTAACATAAAAACAAAAATTCAAACTACCACAAGTGCTATGCAGGATAGTTCAATGGTTAGGGCACAAGGCTAAAGGCACGTTTATAGTAAAAGCCAGGGCTGGATTACCCAATAGGCAGACTAAGCACATGCTTAGGGCATCAGCAAATCAGGGGCACCAAAAAAAATAATGAGATTTTACGGTATAGTATTGTTTTTATTTTGAATTATATATGAGGGGACACCATAATGTTTTCAGTGCTTAGGGCCTCTAAAGGTCTTAATCTGGCCCTGGTAAAAGCACTACTATAGCAGAACATCAGCTATGCCACTACAGCACAAACACTTGATACAGCAACAAAAGGGTTTTTTCCATTGCCATAGTAAATCCACCTCTTTGAGAGGTGTAGTTAGGTTGCCAAAAGAATTCTTCCATCAACCTGTGTACACGGGAGGTTAGGCCAATCTTTGTTGCACGTAGCATGACATTTTTCACAGCCCTGAGTAATGTAACTAGGACAATTTAATCTTTAGGTATAGACCAGAATGTAGGGTTTCAGACATCTCGGTTTAAATCCCTGCTCTACCACAGACTTCAAGTGTGATCTTTGGCAAGACACATAGACCAATTTTCAAAAGCATATTGGCACCTAAAGGCTGTGTCTCGACTACATGCCTCTTTCGGCAGAGGCATGTAGATTAGACAGATCAGCAAAGGTAAATGAAGCTGCGATTTAAATGATCGCGGCTTCATTTACATTTACATGGCTGCCGCGCTGAGCCGACAAACAGCTAATCAGCTGTTTGTTGGCTC